GGAGCGGAAGTTTATACGCGGTTGTGAGGTATCTGAAAAAATAGTTCCACTATAGCAAATAACACGGATTGAAATCATACATTGCGCCGATATATTTGTTTTTAAATCATCAACGAACACCACTAACCACTCGGTGAGTGTCACAGTTTTGAAAACAAACGTTAAGGGTTGTTTTAAGGACATGTTTGAGCATGCCCATAGACAGCCACTCTGAAGCGCTCAGAGGCGATTCTAAAAGAGTCAAAAAGTCGAGACAGGACCCATCGTCAAAATTTCTGTGTCCACCACTCTAATTCATCCAAAACACAGTAGAAAATAGACTCAAAGTGCTAAATACCGAAATTATCCTTTAAAGAAAAATACTCCATAACGGCATGTGCCAAAACATAAATCATAAAAGTGCAATTTGTACAGAGTAAAATACATTTGTACTTTGAAATTCCAACAATTGAAATGTCATGACATTCATGGGACAAATCAGTGCTAACTTACAAACATAGCACTTTCAAATGTGCAATTCTCAAGCTCTGTAGAAGATGGACATTGTGTAGCACAAAAGTCTGCACTGCAAAACAGTCTCATTTCAAGCCTGAAGTTTGCTCTTGAGGCACTGGACTTTGACCGCTTTGAATCATCCAGTTCCAAGAAGTTTTTGGAATACCTCAAAGGTGTACTTCAGCTGTCTGGGATAATCAAGATTCAGCGCGTAGGTCAAGCCAAGCTCTTGCAATATTTCAAAGTCCTGTGATGACTTCAACAGGACTATGACGATTCCAATGTTCTTTGGGTTGTTGCTTGAAGAAGCTCCAGGCTTTGGGGTCACAGTAATGGCCATTATGACCTGTTCAAGTTCCTCCAAGTTCTCAGTGTCCTGCAACATAAAATTGTTAGTGTCTTAGTATAAAACTGTAAGAAGTATATTGCAAGCATATCGCATTACTAGAAAATACATTCATTATCGTTTTCATAGCTTATAAATCTATTTTATTCGATTTTATTTTCTTGCAGGCCTTGGTCTCAAACTGTTTGTTGTGTTCTTCTCTATTTTGATGTTTTTGTAGTCTACAAATGTTCTTCCATTATAATAAGTGATTTATGCTGTTCTACTATTATATCCCTCTCTATGTACAGTATCTTCATCCCTCTAGTTGAGTTCAGAGATTTAGAGAATATATGACAAGGAGCACTGAAGCTGTTAAAAAAAGATACTACAAAAAACAAAGGTCACATTTCTAAATCAAGCACCTACTTGAGGAATTAAGGAAATATGGTCCTTGAATTAAGGTAATGCAAATTAAGTTCACCTACGTTGAATTCTTTGATAAGATGTCCCCCTTGTTCTCCAAGGTATTCTATAAGACACAGAAGAACAACCTCTCTGGTCCTCTCAACCGAAGAGTGCACCGAGTCCTGGGGAGGAATGCAACAACTGATGTCAATCACACACACAAAAAAAATCTAATAATATAGGCTATATATTTTTTAAATCACTGAATGTTTCTGTAATTTAGAAATGAAAACACGACACCTATCAATTTTGATCGTACTTTACATGCCTGCTTTACTTAATGTATAAAGCTTCGTCAGACATCTCGTTTTATATTGTATTACATGGCTTGGTTGAATTCTAATGTAGAATGCGGTCTGTTATTTCTTGGTAACAGACCGCTGCTAAGTATAACACACTGCCATGAAAAACAGAGCGTTGCCATGGATTCTAACCGTAGAGATCATGGAACGGACTATTTTTTTTAGCGGAAGCAATACAAATGTTTTTAAATCAATAAACTCATTTTTAAATCAATATTTTGTCAAATTATTGATTTGGTAGGTAGCCATGTAGCAATAAGCGGGATAATATAGAGCGAGGCGGTTGCTATAGCGAATACAACCCCTTCAGGCTGATTCAAGACCCCTCAGCCTGTCGGGGTTGTAACGTTCGCTATAACAACCCCGGTGTTCACACACCGAACGCGAATTTAATTATTTGCGCGAGTAAATTACATACAAATTCAATGCAAAGACGCGAATAGACGCATCATTCGCACCGGGCGTCGCGAATTGGGCGACGCGTTTGCCGCGAACGTCTTCCGCGCAAGTTAAAACATTTTAACTCGAGGGAATGTTCAAGCGTCTAACTAGACGCGATAGACGCGTATTTGGTGTGAACACACCACATATACCACCACATGCGTTCTTTATACTAGCCCAGTGATAACAAAATAAGTTTTCTTACCTTAGTAAACCAGTTGCAAGATGAACAATGTGGAAGAAGACGAACATTCACGGTCTGTAGGCAGCTTACTCTCTTCAAATGTCTAGCCTGCTGGCTGCTGCATTTAAAAAAGGCGCACTGTGACAGGAAGTGCACTTTGACAGGAAGTGCTTTTCAATTAAAATTGGCCTGATTACATTAATTTGAATTCACTCAATATTCTCTCCATTTGGGATTAAATAAATAAAATGCTTAAGTTTTATTTAACTACAATGGGTGGTTTTTATTCCAAACATTTTTATTTGAAATTTAATTAAATATTTGCCTCAAAATCAAAAACACAATTAAATTGAATATATTTTAACCAAAAACATTAATTCAAATCTACATGACCACAGAATCATTTCTTACAGTGTAATATTAGCTGACTTTAGAACAAATAGAATCCCTGTATTCTTGACAAAGGAGCTTTGAATGCAGGATGATATACATGTACCCATGTATTTGTCCTGACATCTTTTGATTTGAAATAAAACCTCAAAGTTACTTGCATGTCCCCGTTGTATCACTACCCCCCAATCTCCTGTTCTCTTCCCCCTCCCTCTCTCTGGGTGGTTTGATGGAGTGATTTTGATGGAGTGCGCAGGCGGGAGAGAGCCGTCGTTGAGCTGTGCTAATTGAGCTCTCTTTGTGCCTGGTCACAGCAGTGAGGCGAGGAGAGACGGCTGGAAGTGAATTTGAGAACCACTCAGGAAGCCTCAACCAGATCAATAGTGCGAGACTTAACAAAACGCAGACATGCCGGCCACGCACATCAGGGTCATTACTGTCTACAACGAGCCACATTTTCACTAGGGACTGATCAATGGAGGAATATAAGCCACAATTTTTTCAGTGGTTTCTCATTCAAACGAATATATTTTTTTTATTTCATTTTTTTTTTTTTTTTTTTTTTTAAATCTCAACACTGGGATTCAATTTTTTGTGTGTGTGGTTGGCAGTTACAACATATATGTGAGAAGAGAATTACTCTACTTTGTCCCTGTCTCTTTCTGTTCCTCTCCTGCTCTTACTGAAGATATCATCTTCCTGCACCCTTGGGCTAGGATTTTGGATGATTTTGTGCTTTACCCCCTATGATTCAGAACATTCATTAAAATACTTTTTTGCTGCTCATCGTGAAAAATAAAACGGTTATTTTCTGAATGGACCTTTGAGGTTCAGGGAGCTCAGCTCCTTCAGAATAAGATCTGTGTTGGTCTAGCCGTATCTTTATTACTCTTAAAGTAAGAGGTCACAAGTTCAAATGTCAGTTTTCATTAAGCACAAAAAAGACTCGAATAACCACAGAGTAAGTTATTTTGTTTTGTTTTTGGCATTGAGTGCAAACTGGAATGTCAAGTGTGAACATGAATGTCAAGTGCAAACGTAAGCAGTTTTAAGGAAAGTGTGGAGTTTCAATAATTCTGGAATGCCTTCAGTGATAGATGCAGTTCTCGATTTCCCAGCAATGCACCCAGGTTTGAATAAAATGTGTAGTTTATTATTTTACTGTTTACTGATTTTATTTATATTATTGCTGTTTTTTGTGTATCTTGTCATTTTTATTTATTTGTGGTGATTATTATTGATTTAGATTTTATCATTATTATTATTATTATTACTATTATTATTATTTTTCAGTTTGTCACCCTTTATATATTTATTTGTGGTGATTATTATTGATTAAGATGTTATCATTATTATTAGAATAATAATAATAATTATTTTTCAGTTTGTAACCCTTTATAGTGGTTAGTATGTTAAATGTTGAAGTCCATGCACATCTGAATGGGAAGAATGACATGCTCATGCACTCTGAAAGCAAGCAATTGTGATGAAGTGAAACCAGGTTTTGAATGTTGAATGAAACAACTCTAACGGTTGCTTGTACTGGATGATCTTATGATGTTTATTTATTGTGAATAAAAACCATAAAATCGACCACAAATAAAACTTATATAATTTTTGGCCTTGAACATCTTTTAAAATAACTTGCATAGATGAATATAATATGCTGTTTGAAAAAAGGTTATTTTGACCTATTTTGATTTATGCTACATTATTTTGCCTATTAAAATCTGTTGAATGCTCCATTGTTTTGAGCTTTTAAGCTTATATGTCCATTATCCTAGACCACTGGCTCAAATTTTGTCTCAAATTAGACACATCATAGATTACAAGAGAACTAAACAGTACTCTCTGGACATGAAATAGAAAAGAAAAAGGGAACTTATGTGTGACATATTGTAAATTTACTACACTGCACATGTGATTTACTTTAACACAGAAAAAATTAAATCGTTGTTTCTGTCGCATGCTCTATTTTCTGTATGCTTCACCTAAAAACAACAAAAGAAAAGGCTCATCTTTACCCTTTAATCTTTCTACCCCATGGTCTTCCCTACCCAGTACAATTGGGAAGTGTGGTTAATTGTGCAGTTGTAGAGGCAATCTAAAAATACTTTTGAAATGTATTTGTTACTGTATGCCCTGTTTTGAGAAAGAAATTGATTTGTTCATATGAATACTCAAGCAGCAGACATCAGGACAAAAACCTGGATTCATTGTCTTCTTTTATGTCAGTTGCAGATTGAATAAGCTAATAAGCAAAGAGACTTGTTTGACTTTTGACTTTCTGGTTAACATTTGGATTAATGTAGCAATAGGGTGAAATGTAGCAACGTTTAATGCATTAACTAATGTGGGGCTGATTCTCTATACTTTCCTTTTGTGTTTTCTCTAGAGAACACCGGTAAACAACGGGGAAGCATTTCGATGGTTCTTTTAGGACTCTGAACCAAGTGACATCATATGCAGGTGTCACAGACTTACTACAAAAGGAACTTGCAGGGCAACAGGGACCCAAAATGAAACCCAGACTGTGGATGACAGAGCATGAGAGAGGGTGGGACAAAAAAAAAAACACCTTTGTAATTTTATTTCCTGTGTAATATTGTAATTTTGGCAGCATCATAATGTATATTTTTCAGTGTCTATCAATGTGTTTCAGTGTCTTGGTTGTGCAAGTTGCAGCCATTCTTGTAAAGAACTGAGTAGACAATCATTACAAACAGGAGAAAATAATGTCAACCGATGGGCTATTGGCCAAAGGGATCACAAACCTCTTTAAAACACAACTTAAATCTTTAGATCTGGAGCAATAATCATAAAGGTAATTTGTCTCTGTCATCATATTCCAGCTTTCTCTGGAATGATCTTAAGAATACCTCTTTTCACCTAAACCAGTTTGAGAGGACACGTTGTGACCTCTGTTATTAATGTGATGTTTTGTAATCGACACACTATGTACGAACAGTAAACAAAAGCCAGTTTCTTTATTTTCAGCTGTGTTGATTTTGTGTGGCATATTGCAGTGCAGGGCACATTATCTTGTTGCCATGGCGTATTTTTTAAAGTCTGGTAAGACTGAGAGAAGGTGTTTTAAGGTTGTTTGTATAGTCTCTCAAAGTTTGATTGCATTCCACTTAGTTTTGGTTGAAACTGTTTAAAAAGCTGCCTAAAGGTAGGTAGAGAACCAGTAAAGAACTTTTGTGAACATCACAGTAAGATTTGTGACTTGCATTTTTAATTCTCACAACACAGTAAACTACACATTCCGAAATGAATTATCCAATAAGTTGCTCATTGTCTTTACCCTAATGTTGCATGTGTAAATGTGTTTTAATTAAAAAATTTGTATATTGTTGTTGTGATGCATTTACGTGTTAAAACAATAAAGGAAAAACAAAAAAGTGTGATAAACGTAATTTGATGCCAGGAAACATTAACATTTTTTATTATTTTTTAATCACACATGTGCAGTTAAATGTAATTTGTATATATTTCTTGTCTTTCTCTTATCCTATTACAAGCATACATTTCCTGTGTATCTGAGTACATAATTGTAATGCAAACCCTCACAGGTGATAAAAAGTGGGAAGAAAATACAGGGGGGAAAAACAGGCATTGTCATTGCCATCTTCCCCTGGAATGCAAAAATGTCACATGGAAAAGAGAGTGGCTCCCAGAGGCGTTAAGCTTTAAAGAGAGACTGAAATCCCATGTGGTTTGTAATGCTTGCCAAGGGTGGGTTTTGGGGGGGATGGTTTGGGTGGATGGAATACTGAAGTTTGATGGGTAGACGAGTGTTTTGGTAAATCAAGCTTTAGATATTGTGAGGATGGAATCATATTTCAATGGTTGGAAAAGGGATTTATTTATTTTTTTGTTGGGGAGATTGAAGGGAAACAATTTATGGCAAATATAACATTATCAATAAATATACACTAACACCTGGTTTCAAACTAGCTAGCCTCTACTGGGCGACAGCATAGGTTAAAATGCAATCTAAACCTAAACTGGCAATAATATAGGCTACAACAACTCAATATATACAAGCTGAATAAACCAAATCAACCCATGGAAAAATGTGCATGTGGCGACATTTATGCAATATAATATTATGGTGCTTCTTGCAAATTTCACGACACTTTCAAAGTGAAATGTCCAGTGAGTGTCACTAAAAGCGCGTTCAGTTTCATCTGAAATAGATGAATGTGAATTTGGCAATGTTTTGTTCCGTTGGTTGTTGTACATATCGTGACAGTTCGGAAATGAAATGTCCAGCGAATGGCACTGACAGGTTAATGTTCTATTGCGTTTGAAATTAACGTACACCTCCACTAAACTCTACCTTAAAGGAACACTTCACCCATTTGCATTAAGCTTTGTATCGTTAGAAACTCAGTCATATTTTTAATGGTCGTGCATTATTCCCTCATTTTTCCCTGAGACGGGAGAAATAAGGATTTCAGTGTTGCAGTTCCTGCTTATAATGATTTTCCCAGGGGGTGGGACCCACTGACACTACAGACCTATTACAGATCAGTGGGTGGGACTTCCCTTTCTGAAACTAAAAGCAATATCCTCCATCTTGTTTGGAAGCTAAGCTAACAGACGCTGTGGAGCCAGATGTAAAGTTACGACAATGGCGAAATGTACTCAATATGATATGGAAGAAGAGGATTTCGAAAGTCTGATGCTCGAATCAGATGTTCGTGGGTACTTTTACGAGCCGCAATATAGCGAAGAGCAGCAGAGGCTGATGGAGGAACAGGAGGCGGCTGCCTGTCTCGGACAAGGAGCCCGGACTGCTGGTGCCTGTGCTCTCACTGTATGCCTACGGAAACAGAGAAGAGTCCGTCTGCTGAAAAGAATTTCAACGATGCCAATTTCTCCTTGTCATGATTCTGCCATCATGTTATTGATTATTCCTGGTCTTGTGGCAGGATCATGACAGAACCAATGTTTTGTGTACAAGCGCATGGCCAATTGTCAAGGCCATGTGCTTGTGTTGTCTCGTCTCTTAACCCCGCCCCCTTGTTATCCTGATTCAGTCTTTATTGCTTCTCCCGTGTCACCTGTTATGTCTTGATTAGTCTCCTTATTTAATCCCCTTGTGTTTGCTGTCTTGTGTCGGTTCATTGCCAAACGTTACTTGTGAGTATCTTGTGAAAGTCTTGTCATTGAAAGTCATTGTAGGTCTAGTCATTGTTAGTATCTCTCGAAGTGTTGTTTGTTTTCTAGTATTTTGTCAGTGTCGTTGTCTAGTTAGTCACCAGAGTCCTGTCTTGTTTTGCCCCCTCGTGGGCTTTGTTTTCCCCTTTTTGTCTTCAATAAATTGTGTGAAGAGCATTCAGTCTGCTTTTGGGTTCGTCAATCTGCATCCACGTAACAGAATGAACTGACCAGAACTGAACCCAGCAGACAGTATGTCCTCCCTGCTTAAGCAACAGTCAGCTGACCAGCAATTATGGTGGCAGTCAGCTATCACCGACAGCAGGATGGGCAAGCTTCCTTTCCCTCCCCAGGGAGAGAGGTCTCTGAGGAGATATGCTCAGGCCGTGGAAGCAAGGAGGTTTTTCTTACCTGAGATCCTTGTCAACCGTTACCTCATCGCGGGTCTCAAAGCTCCGCCTCCTCTGGCTGAACGGGAGAGGCTGGTCCACCGCCCGTTCCGGGACATGGTGGACTGTTTGTCTCGTAAGGAGCCGCAGGGTCCCATCGTGTCGTCACCTCCTGCCTGTCTGCCGGTGATCCCGGAGGGTCGTATGTTAGGCGTCGTGACGCTTGGAGACCAGACTCGTCCCACTTCGACTCCCGAGGCATCATCTGCACCCGCTGATCTCCGTGGCAAACGAGAGAGACGGCTGTCGTGGGAGTCGACTTCGGAGTCCTCTTCCGCTGAGACTGCAGTCCCGGCTGTACAGCCTCAACTGGTCACAAGCCCGGCTACGGCCTCTGCTCCGCGACCCAGGAAGAAGAAGAGGAAGAGGGGAGCCTCTTGCCCTCCGTCTCTCTCAGAGCCCGCTACTGCAAGCGCTGTTCCAGAGCCCGCTACTGCAAGCGCTGTTCCAGAGCCCGCTACTGCAAGCGCTGTTCCAGAGCCCGCTACTGCAAGCGCTGTTCCAGAGCCCGCTACTGCAAGCGCTGTTCCAGAGCCCGCTACTGCAAGCGCTGTTCCAGGATCTGCGGAGAGAGTTGCGGCCGACCTAGCCGCTAAAGATGTTCTGCAAGCTGTTTCTGCTCATCAGGAGATGCCGGTCATCATTGCGGCCAAGGCCCTTTCTAATTACCTGTCCCGTCTTGTCGCGATTCTTGAACCCCCTGTCTGTCCTGCCTTGTCCTTTGCATCCAAGCCTGTCCCTGTGAGCGCTGCACCCGAGCCGGTCGCCGTGAGCGTCGCACCCAGTCCTGCCCTGTCACCTGCCATGTCCCCCGTCAGAAGTCCCGTTACCTCATCCTCCGTGTCCTCTGTGTCCCCTGTGTCTGAGTCTGTTGCTGCACCATCCCCGACTGTTTCCCCGTTCGTCCCTGTCTCCACCAGCCCCCGGACTGTTTCCCCGTTCGTCCCTGTCTCCACCAGCCCCCGGACTGTTTCCCCATTTGTCCCTGTCGTCACTAGTCCCCGGACTGTTCCCCCTGTCACCACGAAACCCCGGACTGTTCCGACCAAGTCTCGTCCTCGTGTGTCTTCCGCCAGACCTGCCCTGAGTTCTTGTCCTCAGCCCTCATCCCATGGACCCAAGACCCCCAGTCCTCCCATCCACCCTGGACCACCCCCCATGAACTCTGTGTTTCCTCCACCCCCTTTGCCTTGTATGTTGTTTTTGATGTTTCACCCTAACCCTGTTATTGTTTATTCATGTATGCCGCTTTTAGTGTTTTCCATGTTTTGTTGGTTTTTGTCAATGTCTCGTTCCGTCTTGTCTTGTGCTTAGTGTCCCTTTGAGGAGCGTCTGGTAGCCGCTCCTTAAAGTGGGGGTTCTGTCATGATTCTGCCATCATGTTATTGATTATTCCTGGTCTTGTGGCAGGATCATGACAGAACCAATGTTTTGTGTACAAGCGCATGGCCAATTGTCAAGGCCATGTGCTTGTGTTGTCTCGTCTCTTAACCCCGCCCCCTTGTTATCCTGATTCAGTCTTTATTGCTTCTCCCGTGTCACCTGTTATGTCTTGATTAGTCTCCTTATTTAATCCCCTTGTGTTTGCTGTCTTGTGTCGGTTCATTGCCAAACGTTACTTGTGAGTATCTTGTGAAAGTCTTGTCATTGTAGGTCTAGTCATTGTTAGTATCTCTCGAAGTGTTGTTTGTTTTCTAGTATTTTGTCAGTGTCGTTGTCTAGTTAGTCACCAGAGTCCTGTCTTGTTTTGCCCCCTCGTGGGCTTTGTTTTCCCCTTTTTGTCTTCAATAAATTGTGTGAAGAGCATTCAGTCTGCTTTTGGGTTCGTCAATCTGCATCCACGTAACACTCCTGGACGAAATCTCTGAATCAGACGAGGACACGGATGTTTGTGTTGTGAATTATCCTAGTTTCGCACCGCATATGTTCTGACTGAACATCCCGGTATAATGTAAAAATTCACTATTTCGAAAGAAATACAAATGAGCAGTAATTCACTAATGAGTTCGCAAACTAACTAGAACTAGCACATACTAACTATTGTGTGTGAAATTAATTTCAAGCTCTGGTGGTAGCTAGCCTTGTAGACGGAAGAGTGATTTCTCTGATATGCGGATAGGCACTGTTCTGGATTAGTGGGAGTGGCTTGCGGAGCTGTGCGATGTGGTGCATTGTGGGAGTTGTTGTCTTTCATACAAATGCACCCTAAAGTTACTTTCTGTCTTTCCTCAGTCAAGAAGGCACCAAATTCGAAATTTATTTTACATTTCGACTACATATATGGCCCACTTTCAATAAAGATTAATGTTCCCACGGGTGAAATGCTCCTTTAAGCCTAATTGATAGTGTTAACAAAAGAAAATGTGAGATTAAAAAAATAAATTTCTGAAGTAACCATGCCATTTTAGTTTGCTTCTACAGGTCTTGAGAGCTCTTTTATTGTGACACGTTTCACAGGATTCATACCCAAACATTAAGAATCACAAATGCAATGCTGTACCAGGTGAGCAACCGAACAAGTTTGCATCAGAAAAA